GGACTAGTGGTGAGAGTGGCAATGCCTGGAGGGTGGAGGGAATGTGGGGTAGAAAGGGGGAACCTCCCTCCCTGGGGGATGGACAGCAGAGAAAGGGCCAGGGAGTCATCAGACAATGTAACATATGACAAAATAATAATAATTTGTGAATTATGAAGGGTTCATGAGGGAAGGGGGTGAGGAGGGAGGGGGAAAATGGGCAGCCGATATTAAGGGCTCAGATGGAAGGCAAGTGTTTTGAGAATGATGATGGAAACTAATGTACATATGTGCTTGACACAATGGGAATTTTACAAGCCCCCAATAAAATTATTTTTAAAAATTACAGTCACAGAAACCCAGTACATCAGGGTCACTATCAGTCAGAATCAACTCGATGGCAGTGGGGTTTTTAGTCATGGGTGACTTAATGGTTAAATGTTAGCTGCTAAGCAAAGTCAATGGTTTGAACCCAGGTATAGCAACCATGGTAACCCAATTAGGTAGTTCTCCCTGACTTGTAGGATCACTTGGAGTTACAGTTGAATGGATAGCACACCACCACAATGGGTTTGCCTCCCCTTACTTCAGTCCAACCTCACGTAATGAGCACCTGCTGTGTGCTTTGCCAGAAGTATTGGAAACAGAAGCTGGACCCTGCCCTTAGGAAACTCAGAGTCTCCTGCAGCATTGGAGAGAAGCAACTATAGTTTACTACTTTTTGAATTTCCTATTCCTGGCACCTGGTGGTTGTTTAAAACTATGTTGTTTTGCTAATTACTCTGAGATGATAAACGTTCTACCTGACTTTTTCTTTATAGTTTCCTGTCTTATAATTTTATGATTATAAATCTGATTCAATGGTAAGGTGTTTCTTGAAGCTTAGCATCCAGTATTTAAGAAACGTATCTATTAGATTTATTAGTGCTTTTAATTATTTACACTTAAAAACAATAAGCAGAGCTGTGCATACCTAACTCAATTATATAGGGATGCTTCGTATGTCACATACCATATGTGAACATGCTGTTGATGCCTACAACTTAAATGCACTTTGTAAACCTTAGCTTTGTCTTCATAACCAAATGGGGGATGACACACTTTCATTGTGTCCTATCTCCTGAATGCCTCGTGGAATAGTGCTCATCGTAGGGCCTGGCAACACAGCGTCTTCGCAGCTAGGCACAAGCATAGCTTTTTAAACTTCGCAGATCGCAATTAGCAAAATGCTCTCCTGGAAACACAGACATCTCTCAGTGGCCACCAGGGAGTCAAATGAACTGGTTGCCTTCATAAAACTTGGTAAAACACAAACAAAAGAGTGTTTCTGCAGACAGAACACAAAATGGATTGTTTTGTAAAGGATTTGGGGTTTTGTTTTAATCTCCTAGCAAGAGTGTTTCAAGTAGTGACATGACACTACTCATTACTAACAGAGAAGCCCTCCACTGCTTGTGCAGAATCTGAAATCCTCATGTCGTGTGAATGCTGTCGCTTCTGCTGAAGCAGAGGAAAGAATGGGTTGGATTGGTTGCTTAATTGGCCACAAGCTGGATTCTTGCTTTTGTTGGGCTCCCGTTGCTCTGTTACTATCAGGCCTGAAGAGATCATTGTAGCAGACTGACCTCGGATGGTGGTGCCTGCTCTCCCCATGACACCCACAGGCTGGCCGGCACCACACTCTGGTGACCTCCCTGGCAGGTCCTCCCAGTCCTGTCGGACAGGGTGGTCTGTGTGGCATCTCTGTTCCCGAGAAGTCAGGCCTCTTCATTGAGATGCAGGTAGTCCTTCCATAAGCAGGGGCTGCCGAGCATCGTTCAAGTGGCGGGGAGGAAAACAACACTCACACTGCATACCAAGTGGCATCACATTTAACTGAACCATTTTATTATGAATACATTCTGGGCTGCCACTGTGAGCCACTGGTGTAAAATATGCCGGCAAATGGATTTCTGCTAATTACGTTTCATGCATATTTCAGAACTTTCCACAGAGATGCAGGAGGATGGTGTTCATAAAAGAGATATTTTATAACCAGGTTCACTTGCATTTGGCATCAAGACCCCAACTAGTTGGTAACAAAGATAAGCTCGCTCCCGCCGCCTGGGGTGCTCATTGTAGCTGGAATACTGCAATTCCCTCTAACGCTATCAGCACTGCTTGGAAATGAAATCACTCTTCAAACTCACGTGGGCATACATTATTGTAGAAAAGCGCATGACTAATAAATCATCTCTTTCCCACATTGTTTTCTGTAGCTGTTTTCAATTTTACTTAGACGGAGTTGAAGAAACAAGCTGTTGGGGAAACAGGATGTTGGGATGGGGGCGGGGTGAGGGTGGGGAGCAGGAGAGCGTCAGAAAAGCACCATTACCTGCTTCTGGGTGGAATTGTAAAGGACACAAGTGACTGCTCGCTCATGGCTTTTCACCCTCCTGTTGGCTTCATTTTTCATGGCCAACACAGCTAGCTGGTTGTTAAATGAGATGAAAAGGCGTCCGTGAGTTTCATCCAAGTGGAAGAGGCATCTGAAGTCCTGACTTTTGGGGAAAGAGCAAGCTACCCTCTGGATGGACAGCTGGTGTTGAATATCCCAGAGCCTCAAAACCTAGATGAAAAGTGATAAAAGCCATGTGGTTATGTCAAGAATAATTCTGACTTTTAGCCACTGTTCCTGTCTCACCCTTGATCTGAGCCAGCGGGTTACTTCCCTTGCAGTGCTACAGCTGGTGACACTTCTATCATCATACATATTATTTTGTATCTCAATTATCGTTTAAAGACCTCCTAATTGTAAGCATGGAGCCCTGGTGGCATATTGGGCTAAGAGACTGCTTATCTCAAGGACAGAAGTTCAAACCCAACAGCCACTCCCTGGAAGAAAGACAGGGCTGTCTGTCCCTTGCTAAGATTAACATCCAGGAAAACCCACAGATGCAGTTCTACTCTGTCCTTACAGGGTCTCTGAGACCCAATCACCTTGGCGACAGTGGGTTTGGGTCATTGTTGTTATGGTTTGCCATGTAAGCAATTCTAGGAAAGAAGAATGGATCCCCAAAGGTGACTGCATTCTGACGTTGGCACCCGTGAATATGTTACATTATGTGGCAAAGAGATCTTGCAAATTTAATCAAATTCAGACCCTTCAGAAGAAGAAATTTTTCTAGATTATTTGGTGGGTCCAAAATACTTACCAGGATCTTTACAATAGAAAATTCATAATAAAGTTCATATATATATATCACATATATCATTTAATACCATTTACTAATAAAGTATTTTTACACAAATATCATGTACGTTTGCCAATTGCTCCCTCCATCCAGGAGGTACTTTTGTGTGTAGACTATTCAAATTATTTTTTGACAGTAACATGTAATAAGGGGGAAAAAAACCCAACACATAAGCACTTACAAAAAAATGCCTCTTAGGGTGTATATGTGTATATTGCACATTTCTTGAGTACCATACCTTTTAATTCACACACACACACAGGAATCCTGGTGGGGTGTGGTAGTTATGGTTCGGGCTGCTAACAGCAAGATCAGTAGTTTGTAACTACCAGCCATTCCTCAAAAGAAAGACTGAGCTCTCTATTCCCAAAAAGAGGTACAGTCTTAGAATCTCACAGGCACAGTTCTACCTTGTCCTATAGGGTTGCTATGAGTCAACATTGGCTTGATGGTGTGAGTTGCGTTTGTTTTGTTTTTTAATCATTTTATTGGGGGCTCTTGCAATGCTTATCACAATCCATACATGCATCTATTGTGTCAAGCACATTTATACGTTTGTTGCCATCATCATTCTCAAAACACTTTCTCTCTACTTGAGTTGTGTTTGGTATGGCTCACTGGTACTAGGCAGGCTATTTTGTTGCTTGAAAGATCAGATCGGATGATATGACCCGAGAGCAGACGTGGGCTCTTAGGTTGGGGTTTATCCTTACAGTGGTGGACTCCAACAGTATTTATCCTTCTGTGATGGACTAACTTCACTCACCAGAATGGTTTCCAGCTCCATCCATGTCATGTGTTTTATTGATGATTTTTAGGGATACGTTGTGTGCATATACCAGAGTTTCTTTATCCATTCTTCTTCTGAGAGGCATTTAGACTGTTTCAAGCGCCGTGCTATTGTGAAATGTGCTGCAATGAACAGGAAAGGGAATAGGCCTGTTCGTGTTCTGTCTCTTCTTTGGAGCAGATGCCCATCAAAGGTATTGCTGGGTTGCGTGGTAGTTCTATTCTCAGTTGTCTTGAGTCTCACCAGACTGCTTCCCACCAGAGTTGTGCTCATTTTACAAGCCCACTGACAGTGTCTAAGAGTTGCAATATCTCCACATCCTCTCTGGCATTTGCGGTTGTCTGTTCTTTTTGAACTGATCCATCGTTGTGATTGATTTGCATCTCCTACATGGCTGGTGATCAGGAACATTTCCATATGTGTTTGTTAGCCTTTGTGAATTATCTATTCATGTTGTTCACCCACCTTTGGGTTATTTGTGGCTTATATATGGGGATTTTTGTTGTTGTTAAGATTCTGCCAAGTTCTATAGATTTTAGTAATTAATCCCTTGTCTATTAAGTCATGCTAAAGATTTTTTTATCCCCAATCTGTGGGCTCTTGTATTACTCTTCTGATGAAGTCTCTTAATGGGCATAAGTGTTTTACTTTTCACAGGTTGCATGATCTATTTGGTCTGCCATTGCTTGTACTTCCTTTATTATATTTGGTAGTCTGTGTATGCCCTGAAATAGGTACTTACATTTTCCCTCATTTTCCCATTGATGACCCGTATAGCCCCCAGGTTTACAGTTAGGTCTCTAATCCATCGTGAGTTTGTTTCATGTGTGGGGCAGGGTATGGGTCCGGCTTCATTCTTCTGTGGATAGAGACCCATTTTCCCAGCACTGCTGGTTGCAGAGCATGTCACTTTCCTATTTAGAGCTTTTGGTCCTTTGTTGAAAATTGGTCAGCTGAAGGTGGATGCTTTTACTTCTGGGTTTTGTATCCTGTTCCGTATGACTCTATCATTATACCCATGCAGGCTATTTGACTGTGGCTGTGTATTAGATTTTGAGGTTTGGTAGTTCCTGATTTGTTCTTCTTTCTGAGTTCTTTGCTTATCCTGGACCTCATACCTCTCCACATGAAGTTGGTAATTAGTTTTTCTATTTCATTAAAAAATGAAGTTGGGATTTGGATAGGAATTGCATTGTATTTGTAGATTGCTTCAGGCAATATTGACATTTTCACAATATTAAGTTTTCCTATGTATGAACACAGATATTCTTCGAATTTTGTTGGCTTCTTTTGGTTTCTTTTAATAATATTCTGTAGTTGTCATTACACTTAACCCCTTAAAATTGCATTTTTTTACTTTCATTTTTACACTATCTCTTTGAAGCTCCTTCATACATATATACATATAAATATATACACACATATGAATATGGATATGGATATACATAAACATAAATATGATATAGAAGTAGTATTCAAATGAACCACAAGATATTAGATTCAGATTCAAACATAATCAAGACACATAAATAACATGCATCGGTCATACAACAAACACTGAAACCATACTCAGAGACTTTTTCATTCGACCAACCTTAAATAATTATTTTTACTAGTTTGGATTCCCTCCGGACTCCCTTCATTTCAGTGAGGGAGAGTTATAGTAACCTCCTGAAGAGATAACAGTAATTCTACATACTTACATATATATTTCTTTGTGTCTTAATTTCTGAATATATTATTCATTTACTTATTGATTCCCTCCTCTGAATAAAGATTAGTTACTTATACACCTTTTCTCCTTTTTCTTTCCCATTCCTCCTAATCTAATTATTGTTAAGCAATATTGGTTGTCACAGCTTTAAACAATATACTTACACTTTAATTATGGCATCATCAATTTAAGGCAGTATCTTGGACTTCCCTCAATGGAAGAAGAATATGTTAGTGATCTCATGGATGTGATTTAAGTGAGGTGTCCAGAATAGAGCCAACACCTTTGACCATCATTATAGATGCTTCAAGCAGTTCATTAAGAAGCCACTCTGTCATGTTTTATAGGAGGCCTGGTAGCTTAGCGGCTTCCAGATTGGGCTGCTAGTCTCAAGGTCAGAGTTTTAAAACTACAAACTGCTTCTCTGGATAAAGATGTGGCTTTCTACTCCAGCAATCCACAGGGGCAGTTCTAATCTGCTCTATAAGCTCCCGTGACTCAGAATCAGCTCAGGGCCAGTGAGAGTTTGACTGAGGCATCATACGTACACTCACCTGCATACAAATGATGACATCAGATCTCTTTCACCCTACCTTCAAAATCTGATGCTTTGCATCCTTCTAGGTTTCGATTCAGAGTTCCGAAGTGGCCCTATAATTTTGAATCCTAATCCAAGTCTTGACCATTAACCCTGGTTTATCCACACATGCCATGAGACACAGTGAACACACAATAATTACTTTTTTGAATTTGTTGAATGTTGTGGCTCACCTGATACCTCATGATTGTATGAAGTTTGTTGATGAAAAGATAATATAGTAAAGGTGCAAGAATATAGCATTCCCCAGGGAGGTTAAAAAAAAAAACCACCTTTCATTTCTACATGACTATTGATGTAGCTTCAACTCTCATATAATCTGTAATGGTTTTTATGAGACTTTTTCAAACAGATTTCAGAAATAGCTAGTTGATGTATAGGGTAACCTATCTAGTGAGGCTTTTAATAAGCGTGAGCTAACCTAGTCAATCCTACCAGATACACAACATGCCTAATGCTTTTAACCCAAAGAATATATGTATGAATATATTCATAAATAAATTAGATGTTCTTGGCAAGAACTGAAAGAACTATTTATTTTAGTTCTTAATCATTACCAAACTATGTTTTAAGCTCCTGGCAGCCCTCCAGAAAATGTTTATCCTCAAAAATATAAATTGTACAAGAACAAGATATGCAAATATATGTCGATGTGTTCTAAATATAAATAGAATTCATATATTGTTATTTTGAACATTGAAGTCATAACAAAGTCAAACCACTGATCTTACTTACACTTCATTGTTTCTTGAAGGCTTGTTGTGTCCAGTATGGACCCCTCTACAAATGAGAAGCTTTCTTCATATCAGAATAACAATCTGGGGCATAGTTAAATATAGCTCAAAAATAACACAAAAGTATTAATGAACTATAATTTTCCCAGAATAACTTTCCATTGTATTGTTTAAGTAATTTATGTTGGCTCTAATATTTCATTGACATTTAGTCACATAAAGTAAAAATTAAAAACAGATGAATCATTGCTTTACTGGTCTTCCACAGGTGACTTCTTGCTGTTAGCAAATAAAACTAAAGATATTTTATCAGAACGTGAATACGCCTTCATTTTTCTTAAATCTAACTTTTTATTACGCTGTTTTATTTCTTCTGCTTAGTGTCCAAAACTTTCTCAAATAATAGTCCCACTAAGTCTATAGTCCACGTTTACTTCTCAATATTTACTTTCTGCTGAGAATCAAAGCAATGAGATGGTCACATTGGCGTCGGTGCCTGCAAGCAGCGTTCCAGCATGCTTCTAGAAGCTCTGTGAGCG